GAGACCCAAATATTTGACTGGAAGGGATGCAATCTGACAAGCCAGAATACCAACACACTCAGCTAAATTGGATACCTGTCCAACTGGAATAATTTGGCTCTTATTCCAATTAACTTTCAGACCTGTAATCACTTCAAACCAAGAGAGAATCCCAAGGATTAACTCGGCCTGAGAGGGGGACGCCTCCACAAAACATAATGTATCATCTGCAAATTGAAGAATATTCACTTTCTCTCCCCCTGGCACCATTGCAAAACCTTCCCATTCTCCTAACACAGCAGCCTTCTTACAGAAAAAAGTGAGGATCTCCATAACACATAAAAATAGGAGGGGAGATAGAGGGTCTCCCTGCCTAAGACCCCTGGAATTATCAAAGAAACCTGCAAACTGTCCATTTACCAAGATTGAGACATTTGGGGAAGAAATACAGACTTTAATCCAATTCCTCCATTTCTAACCAAAATTCATCTGAAGAAGCACAATGTCTACACATCTCCGATTAACATGATCATAGGCCTTCTCAATATCAAGTTTACAAATCAAACCCGGACCTTCTTTTTTCCTGGAATGAATGTGTTCATTTGCAATAAGAACTGAATCTAGCATCTGCCTACTCAGAATAAAAGTAATTTGGTTATTTAAGATAACACTACCAAGAACTGCTTTCAATCTTTCAGCAAGAACTTTAGCTAGGATTTTGTAGAAGCTATGCAGCAGACTGATCGGCCTGAAATCCTTAATATTCACTACACCCTCAATCTTTGGAATGAGGGTAATAAAGGTAGTGTTCAGACTTCTGCAATGAACCCCTCTCCAAAAAGTCCTGGAAAACATTCAAGATATCTTGTCTCACCACATCCCAGCATTTAATGTAGAAAAGATTTGTAAGACCATCTGGCCCTAGAGACTTCTCATCAGCCAACAACTTGATAGCTTCTTTAATTTCCTCCTCAGAAAAAGGTCTCTCAATGAATGAAGACTGCTCGTCACTCAACTGGTTAAAAGAAAGGGATCTAGGAAAAGGTCTGAAGGACCAAGATTCCTTATACAGCTTCTTGTAAAAGCTAGTTGCCACAAGCTTCATATCAGTCTCAGTGATACCCACCCTGCCCTCTCCTCCAACTTGGTAATTACAGGAGCTCTAGCTTTGGCATTTGCCATTTTGTGGAAATAATGTGTATTCCTATCCCCCTCTTTCAGCCAAGCTACTTTGGCTCTTTGCCTCCATTTAATTTCTTCTATCACTACCAATTTGTCAAACTTCAACTTAGCCTGGAATCTTTTTAATCTAAGCTCCTCAGCAATAGGGCCTAATTCTTCAACTGTGTCAATCCCCTTTATGGTACTCAAGAGAGCCTTCTTCTCAGTATCTAGACTCAAACTTTTCTCCAATTTCCAAATCTTTAGTCTTGCTTTAATGGCCTCCAATTTCTTTGCTAAGATGAATGAACTAGTACCCCCCCCCCACCTGCAGATCCTCCCAAACAGACTTCAGCAAAGGAATAGGAGAATCGTCCTCAAACCAAGCATTCCCTAATTTGAAAGGAACTTTTGCTCTCACTCTAACACCACAAGCCAGCTGAATAGGAATATGGTCTGACACTGGTCTTGGAAGGGCAATCTGCTTCAACTCCGGGAAAATATCTTCCCAATTAGAAGTAACCAGAAACCTATCAAGTCCCAATAGAGTAGGAAGGTCTTGATTGTTGGTCCAAGTAAACCTGTTGCCATGAAGGGGTAAATCTTGAAGTTCAAATCTGTTGATAAAATCAGCAAATTGCACCATATCCCTCGATCTTCTCCCACTCGAGCTTCTCTCATCCTCAGAAAGAGTGACATTAAAGTCCCCACCAATGACCCAAGGAACAGCAAGACTTCCCCCAGCTACCGCCAATTCCTCCCAAAACTCCTCCCTCCAGCTTCAGTCATTAGGGCCATACACATTAGTAATTTGACACACATTACCATCTACAAGTTTCAAGACAAGGGAAATTGAAAAGTTTCCAATCTGATGAGAAATCAAGCTGCAAACTGTCGGGTCCCACATACTCAGTAACCCCCCTGCACTACCAGCTACCGGCTTTAACCTCCACCTAACCTCTCCCTCCCCCCAGATACTTCTAACCACTGCAGCCTCCATAGTTTTCAATTTAATTTCTTGAACCAAAACCACTTATGAACCTGAATTTTTCAGAGAATCACATACTACAAGCCTCCTTCTCCCTGACCCCAACCCCTTAAAATTCCAATATAATATCTTGAGCTCCATAAACAAACTAAAAACAACAGAACACTTGGCACTTAAGCCTTTCTCCAAGCCTGAATTTTTCAGAGAATCACATACTACAAGCCTCCTTCTCCCCGACCCCAACCCCTTAAAATTCCAAGATAATATCT